TTTCAACAGATACAAAAGAATTGATCTACCATTACTAGCAACTAATACCTGGAAATATGATGTAGGGTTCACAGATCAGAGACCGGCTGAAACTAATCCATGCAATGTTACAATACCAAATTAAGATGTTTTCATTATTTATCACAGGCAAAAACTGTACAGCAGAAGGTGGTGACTCCATCTTCTGCATTGCTTCCACTGCCATTGCATCTGGACCAATCGTCCTCGGATTCCTGACAACATACATTACCAGATTGATGTTCAGTAATTTGCAGAAGGTGCAAAAATGAATGTTTCAATCATATGGGTTTACAGATCTGACTTCACCTGTTACACATTTCTCCCACTGTGAGCTTGAAAATGGCTTCTCCACTAGCCTTGAGCGTTCGACGAAGATCCCCATCAGTGAATGTTCCGATCAGGTGATACTCTTCGTCTATGACAAGCAAGCATCCACATCCTTTGCTGGTAAGCTCTACCAGCTGATCCATTATCAAATCTCCTTCCCTGCACACTGGAAGTTCATCCTGCTTCTTCATCACGTCTTTTACCTACACCCAATTCATTTCTATTAATTTGCAATTTTTGAAGAACAAGCCTTTTCTCTTCATGATAATTTCCTTCACTGCTAATCATGAGCATGAATCGTTCCACTAATGCAGAGATATATAAATACTAGATTTCATTATATCATCACGATTTCCTACATTTAAAACCCAACAACGATCAAGAACCAGAAACAAATTATCCAAACCCTCCTGAATTTATCGAAATCAAACCTACATTTCAACCCAAAAGAAGGAAAAATGTTCAATTGATCCTTTTTTTTATTAAAAGAAAAGGAAATACAAAGATGGCAAACCTTGAAAATCAGGCTCTTGCCGATCCGCCCGGCAGGATGATTGGCGGCGTACTCCTCCTTGGTGAGATTGCGAGCGGTCATGAGAGCAATAGCAACCGTGTCTCCAAACACCATTTGGATAGCAGTGGAGGTGACAGGAGCGAGATCGAATGGACAAAGTTCCCTCTGGAGAGGAAGGTGAACATTCATGTCGCAGAGAGAGGCGAGAGCATTGCCGACGACTGACGTGACGGAGATAATAAAAGCGCCTTTCGCCTTCGCGCAGGGAAGAAGACGGAGCAGCTCCTCGGTATTCCCGGACTTGCTGAAGAGAACGAGGATATCAGCCGGTCCAAGAATCCCGATGTCGCCATGGAGCGCATCAACAGGGGAGAGAAACGAGGATCGAATGCCTAGAGAAACAAGAGTCTGGGAGATCTTGTTTGAAACGAAGCCGGACTTTCCGACGCCGGAGAAGAAGATTGTGCCGGAGGAATTGAGGAGAATACGAGTAAATGCAAGCGTTTGGGTGAGGTCAAGGTTCTGGAAGAAGTAGTTGAGGTGGCTTTGTTGAGCTCTGAATAGCTTCAAAAGACTGGCCTCAGAAATCTCTGCTTCTCCTCCTCCTCCTCCGCCATTGATAAGAGTTGTTTTTGGCAATGGGAGATCAAGCGATGGCGGAAGAGATCCCATTGTTACTTGGTGGTTGATTGTTGGTTTGCTTTCCTTGGATTTATCAATGGAGATCCGCCTGGTTTTGCTGTGATTGATTGGAATTTCTGTTTGGATGATTTTGTCGGTGGGGTAATTTGGCGGCAGTAATTCTGCGAAAATCTAGGCTGTGTTTGTTCTTCTTTTTGACGATCCAGGCTCTGTTTCTTTACAGTTTATTCATATATATATATATATATATATATATATATATATATTTGTCTAAATGCTAAATTGACTACTTAAATATCTTTATTACATTACATGTAATATGATATTTGACGTATAAATAATATTTTAATATTTAATTATTTTTAATATTAAAATTAAAAACATCAAAAAGTAAAATTAAAAAAATAAAAAAAACTATTTTTTTCAGCTTTAATAAAATTGCAACTTATTTTTTAAATTTTATGTTTTTAATTTTTTATTATATTAAAAATAGTTA